TTTCTGCCAGGGGACGAAAGATTGATGTTTTGATAGCAATAAATGAAAAAAATAGTGCTCATCTTTCAATTATTTTCTATAAATTTTTTAACTGATTCTGATTAAAATGAGAAGGCTTTAGCATTAATTTTACTTAATAGACAAGGCTTACAATTTACAATAATTATCGGTAGTAATTATAAGTGATTACAAGTTATGTATTTTATACGAGCTAAAGCATGCAGCAACAGCTGCAATGAAGATGATAAAAACTCGCTTTTGACAACTGTATAAATTCCCCTTACCTTTTATGGGGATTCTTTCTTATCTATGTTCTTGTATTATTTTGAAACCTACATTCCCAAAACAGGTTCACTCTCCCACAGCGTCACTCAATGGCAACTTCTGATTAAGACAGGGGTGTCTAACAAAATTAACTTACTTCAACCATTAACTCCTCAGCAGCTGTTGAATGGCCTCCTTATCCCAATGACTCCAACAGCACTACATGCTGCGCCTCTACGCCTATCTGCTTTTGGGTTAGCCCAATTCACTGCGCAAAGCATGAATTCTGCTGCTGCTTTAGCCGCTTCTATGATTTCCCAGAGGATGCTAGGACAGGATGAGGACGGCCTTATTCAAAAAAAATCGGGTTAGTTATTTTTTTATTAATTTCATCTTGCTTGAATATTTTTCTTAGAAAAACTTTAGTCTTTCTTCATTGGCACATGTTATTCTTCTAATATTTTTAGATTCATTAATTTATTCGAAACTGCTAACTGGAATCATTCTGGAAGGTCGAGGGGAGCTGGCTCGATTAATGGGTGGCAAATGCCTTCTTCTTGCTTGTAAACAAGATAGTGCTGTCTCAATTGCTCCCTGGCCAGGATACATGATGCAGACTTTCAGTCTTTTCTCCGATTACATCTCTGCCGTGCTGGGTTGGCTCTATTTCTTTTAATATGCTGTTTAATATTAATTTACCATTTCCATATATGTCCCCCCACCCTCATTTTTGTACACTGTGAACCTCAAGCACTAAGTGGAAAAATTCTTCATCCTTTGGTAAGTATTGATTGTACTAACAGCAAAAGCATTAGTTGGCCTCAATCGGGCTTGACCCTATCTTACCTTAGCTCACTCACTATCACTCG